CTGAGCCTTTTTTGCAGTTTAATTACAGAACTATTTCCTTTCTACAACATCATGGTGTTTGGGTCATGGGAGGAGTTTTTATCAATAGCAAAATCACCAGATAAGGATGACAGCACAGCATGTATTTATGTGCAGCGTAGGGTTTTTTTTTAAATCACACCAAACATGAAGAACCAGATCACGTGTCATATATGGACTGGCACTTTAAAAGGGAAGAGATAAAGAAGAGGAAATCTATTAATAAAGAGCACATATACAAGATCATAGTTCTTCAATGATGTGCTTCAGTCAGTGTTTGTCATCCTGTTACAAAACCAGGTAGGGTGGGGAAGAGAAGGGACGAAAGGTTCAAATTCCCAGGTCAAGCTCTGAATAGGCACTGTCTTCTTAAGTCAGCACTACAGTACATGGAGCTCTTCACCCTTTGCAAAGAAATATTAGTATTGGACACAGCCTGTTTTAAGATGGAAAAAGATGCTGATCTCACTGTAGAAGATGGCTCCTAGCTAGCATGACTGAAATTGGCTTGAGATTTCCTGACCTGGGCAGATATTGCTCTGTTCCAGTGGCTCTCTGCTCATAACCAGAAAAGATTTAACAAATGACCTTTGTACATTGGAGCCTTTTTAAAAGACAGAGGTAACCAACCATGAGGTGGCAGAAAGAAAACAAGCTCCTATCAATGATACAGAGAACCTGGAGTGTCAGTAGCAATCTGGAGCTCAGTAAAAACAGTTCTGGTGGGGCAGTGAGTGACCAGAAGTGGTTTTCATATCTATGTTGTGCACTCAAAACAGGGTGACACTGTGCCTCAGGAAGTTCAGTTTTTTAGGTTGTTCAGGAGGCCACATGTCAGTTTTACTGGTACTTTACAATTCTTAAATCAATGTCAGAGTCTTGAGAAAGCTAATTTAATGCTGCAGCATCTAATAAACTTGGCACTTTCCCAATACAAAGGTCATGTTTGTTGAGTTTAATGGCTCTGTGATATCCCTTGGGGTGAAAGAATTGCTCAATCCAAATATGCAGCTGTGATTACAACTGTCCTGAATAAGCTGCTTTGCCTCACAGAAAGAATGTTTGAAAAACCCATTAGTAGACATTGTCTTGGCAGGACAAAAGAGAACACCTCACAACATTCAAGAAACTGAGCTAGGCATTGGGGGATATGAGCATGTGCGATACCGGTAGATATGGCACCATAGTAGAAAGACAGTCCTTGGAAAGAATACAGGAGCGTAGCACTGGAATGGACCTCCTTGGCTCATCAAGTCTAGCCTCTTGCTATCACAGTCACCACGCTGTTTGGTGCTATTGCTGGCACCACATTGCAGGTACCACATTGTGTACCTTTTCAAGCCCCATCTTGGAAATTGATTTTTTTCCCTGACTACTCTGACCGGAAGGTTCTTCCAGAATCTCACTGCTCTTAGTTTGGAGCCTTCTTCGATTTTCAGCCCAAGTTTCTTCACAGTTAGTTTAAAAGTATTTGTTTGCAGGACTACATTATCCTTTATCTAGAGCACCTCTTCCCCACTAAGCTAGAAGTGTCAAATACCCTTCTGGATTCAGCCCCTGGGCTCCATGTAGGCTGGGTCTGGATGTGGTGGTGGCAAATGGCAGTGGCTGTGGGAGTTAATGCAACCATCGCTCACCCCGTCACTGTTAAGCATTGCTAACCAGGTTCCAAGTCCAGGATTTTGGCAGTGGGCCCCACCCCTGAATTTTCGGGCCTCTACAAGCCCTGCAGGCCATGTGACATGGCTCCATGGGCCAGATCTGGCATGTAGGCTGTAAGGTTGAGACTGATGCTCTAAGCTAAAGAACTAACAGGCTGGAGGCCAAACTTTTTTTTCCTGGTTTCAGGAAAGAATCATATCAAACTAACAGGATCCAACCTTGTGAAAAGCTGGAGGCACTGAAGATATGAAGCACTGGTGACAGTAACAGTGAAAAAACTATTCTTCCTTCTCAAAGTGTCTTCTTTCTATGTACATCCAGAGTCCCATCTGTACAGTACAACTTTACCACAGCTAGCACCAAGGCACACACTGTGAGAGTAAGCCAAAATCTTTTCCAGTTTTCATTGCAGAATTTTTAGAAGAAAAATTCCAGTGGCTGGGTCACTCAGACCTCACTGTCTTCATATTCTACTCTGATGCCTGCCATTGAAGACAATAAGGTAGAGAAAGAAACTTTCCTTGGTGGCAGGTTGTCCCAAAAATGGCTTACTGCAGAGTTTTATGAACCATCTTTAAAGGATATACCACTTGCCAGTGTCAGAGATGCTATATGGAACAAGGTAGATCTCTCATCTGATCCAGGCTCATATATCGAATGCTTCTACTTCAATCTGAGGACAGTGGTGTGATCCAAGTGTTTTCAGTAGGGCTTAATAAATGTAAAGAAAGGTTCTTCTTAAGATGAGTAAAGGTATTAAAATCTGGCTTGAAGGAAAGAAGGGAAATTTGAAAGGGCTATTCTATCACAGAGGGACTGCCTGTGAACAGCTTACAAGAAAAGTCTTGATGGAGATTAAGCATTCGCCATTGTAAGGAGTCACAATCTGGTCTTAATTAGGCCAATAGGAAAAGAATTGTTTTTACATGGTATACTTGCAATGTTCCACAACAGTCCAAATGCTGAAGACAAATACTGCTATTTTACATACTGAACATCAAAGATCAACTCAGAACTTGATGCTGCCTGTAGCCACCTACAAATCAACATTTCATTCAAAATATGTAGTGATATCAGGTTGGTTTTTCCAAGATAGTCTCTTTCAATAACATCATTTTTTGGCTCAAAAAAAGCAGAAAATGTTCTTTTGGTAGCTCTAGCCCCCCAAATTTATTGTCAGCTCTGAGGTAACTCCCACTTTGCCCTTAAAAAAACCTAGATGGCCATGTACATCTCCATCAACATTCACTCTTGCCTACTAAGGACTGCTTTTGGGAAGGTCTTAACCAAATGCCTCTGTAAACAGATTCATTTTTTTTCAGATCATGCCTGCGGACAAAGGGGTGAAGGCTGTACTCTGAGAGGATTTCATACTCATGTATGTGTGGGTAAAAAGAGTTTAAAATCTCAAAACATTATGCATACAACAGGTCAAATCTTCCTCTCTCCAAGTACCCAGGTTAGACAATGTGTGGAATATATGGATTCTCCCCTCACTGCCCTATGGAGTGCCAGTTGTGCTGCATTTGGACAACCACTGAAGCCCTAAAGCTGCAACATAGTCTCTCCCTACTAGGCTCTGCTCTTATGTGGGACAGTGGCTAGAAGGGATTTATGGAAGTATTCCAACTAGATCCCATTTACCCCAGTCCTGTCTCCCTACACCCAGCTGCAGAGGAATGCAGGGGCAGAGTTTGCAGTCTGGATACCATAACTCCTCTCTTCCTCTCCCATGCCAGTTGCTGCAAACAGAACTTTTTGAAGAAGATGGGGCAGGATTTAACTTATAGGAATTGCACCCGCCTGGTTTTGTATAGGTGCTCTCTAGCGACCTTCAAGCGCACACCTGGTTCCAACTGCAGGGTATGCCCCCAGGCCCTGTGTGTTGGGTCGCATTCAACCCCAAGGGAGACCCCAATACTTGCCTGCCACAACTTGGTCTTTTCTTCAGTGGTGGGGTTCCTCCTTGGGGCTTCTCACAGACCAGGTGCTGCCCTTTGTGGGCGTTCTTGGGGCTCCACCTCCCCTACACCCCAGCCATGTGCCAGCCTTCAGGACCACTGGATGATGGGTCACTGGCCCATCCCTTTTTGATATTCTTGTCTGCTCTTTTCTCTCCTTGCCCATTCCTCATAGTTTCATAGTTTGTAGGGTCGGAAGGGACCTGAGCAGATCGAGTCCGACCTCCTGCCATGGCAGGAAAGAGTACTGGGGTCAAACGACCCCAGCAAGGTGTTCATCTAGCCTTGTCTTAAAGGACCCCAAGATAGGAGCCAGCACCACTTCGCTTGGAAGTTGGTTCGATGACCTTTCACCCCTGATGATGACAAGGTGGGGGACTGTCCTTATCTCTGCACCTGTTCTCCCTTTTGAGGCTTTTGCTGTGCTGCCTCGGTCCTCTTTCGTGGCTCAGGGTTACTTGGGGTTACCTCCCCGCCCCCAGTCTGGGCTCCATGTGCCTCCTGAAATAAAGTAATTTAAAAAAAAAAGAAGAGAATAGAAGAATAATTGGGGTACGGGGCTTCTGCCCACCCCACTCATGGGTCCGGCGTCTGTGGTCCATGAGAACCCTCAACACCGTCCCACCTTGGCCTGGCTGCCCTGCCAAGCAGGGTGTGTAATTCTTCTAATGTGGTTGAAATCCCTGCTGCAGGTCTCTGTCCAGCCTCCTTCCAAGCTGCCAACCCTGTGGAGTCACAGCTTGGGGAGCAGCTTTGCTCTCTGGCTTCAGCATTGCTGCCACTGTCTCCATTTTCCCATCGCTGGCTTTTAAATCTTCCAGGCAGTGGTTTTTGCTGACGTCATCCACCAGTGCCGTTCTCAGCCGGCAATAAAAGCGGCTGATGAACCGCACTAGCAGCCCTTCTTGGCGTGGCCCCGATTCTCAGGAGCCACTCTAATTAAAATACCTGCAGCATCTCATATATTCAGTGTCTGTACTTCAAAATGATGGTGGGGGTGCTTTAACTAAAGCTTGTTCAATGAGCCTTAGTTAAAGCGCCCCTGCTGCCAGTTTGAAATGCAAGGACACTGAATATACAAGATGGTGAGGCTGCTGAAGCATTCTAATTAGAACGCTCCAGCAGACTTGATTAAAATGAACTAAATAGAATGAACTCATTAGAATGTGTCAGAGCAGGCATCAGGCACATGTATAAGTGCCCAACGAGATCATATAGGAAGAGGAAATCTGAAGGAGAACACACAAAATACTCCCTCTTTAACAGTTCAGCCCTTCCCACTCAGGACTGAAGCAAGGATCTGGCAGCTGCTGGCCCCGTGCTATCTTTGGCCCAGGAGCTGCGGGGTTAAATGCTTGTTTTGGCTGCATCTTTCCCAGCCAGCTCCTTTCCTTCTGTTTAGTCCTGCTTCTCGCCTTTGTGCTTCCAAGGGTAGATTAGCTCTCCCAGGAACAACTTTTTGCAGAGAGACCCCCAGGAATCCTTAGGGTAACAACTGTAGGTTGGGAGCCTGTATGTCTGCACCACGCTGCCATAGGACAGAGGGTTTATCTGGAAGTAGAGAAGAAGAAAGAGAGAAAGTAGCAATGAAAACTGACAATGGCAAGAATTACTCACATTTGGCACCCAAGGCCCCAACGTGCTGTCCAAGAATGAACAAATCAATCCTCCCAATATCCCTGAGGAAGGTATTATCATCCTTATTTTACAGGTAAGGAAACATAGATGATTTGGCAACCGTTGATCCTTCTGGATCATGGTGTATGTCTGAGAGGTCACCCAGACCTTCAATGCATATACCTAGACAGGAATATGGAGGAGTGGAGGCTGCCCAGACCTTCCATCCCTCTTTAGGCCACAGAGACAGAATCCAAAGGGCAGACTGAGTCCAGAAATTTGGTGCCTCCATGGCTGTAGGAAACAGAGGCATGATCCAAAATGTTAGTGGGGTTTGAGCGCACTGCCAACTCACCTTCCCCCTCCCTCCCACTCAGCACATCAAAATGACATGGCACTTTAACCATGACCCTTTAGTTGACTGCAATAATGGAGAGACAGAGCCTTAGTTCTGTAAGCAACTGAATGCCCTTTTGAAGATGTTTTCTTGTGTTCTCTTACACTTTTCTGGACTCTGCCTGTGAGCTATCTTCTTCAGTGACTCTATTTTGCAAGTTGCTGAGTGCTTTCTCTGGCCCTGACCCAGCAATGCACTTTATCTAAACTCAGCTCCTAGTCAACCGAGTGCTGAGTCCTGATGGATACAGGCCACCAAATATTTCATATTAATATACAATGACATTATAAAATTAATTCTCTTTGATTGGATTTACATCTTATTTGTAGCTGCTTTCTACTAATATCCTAGTGTAGTGTGTGTGTGGGGGGGGGGGGGGGGGGGCCTTTTTTGGCAGGCAGCAC